GGATAAAGTACTAATATTATTATTATGTACTCCTCTCCTGGCGGCTTGTTTATAGAGCTTTATGTGTTGCTCCAAGTGAAGTGATGTAGTTGTGTTTCTCTTTACAGTGTTTGTTGAGCTTGGATTGTGTTATTCTTTTTCTCTAAAGAATTACCAAAAAAGGAAATTTTTAGAAAAATAGAGGATCAGCGGAAAGAGTTTTTTTTATTATCAAAAAATAACTTCTATATATTTACATGTACAATACTTATTAATATATACATAAAATATCTAAAAAAATTATTATAATACTCATAAGTATAGAAAGCAATTAATAAGAAAAAAGATAATTATGATAGAAAATATATATAATGTTTCAAAAAATCTTATCAATTACAATAGAAAAACTTATTAGAGGATATATTAGTATAGAACTGATCAAGGAAATCAATAATCTTATATATTATCTACATATTTAAAAAAAATGATTATATATAATATATCAAGAATTCAAAGTATATTTGAAAAAAACATAGAAAGGTATATGTATAATTATGAATAATTGAAAAAAAGTCTAGAATATTAGTCAGAAATAAATAGTTCTGCAGAACTATCCAAAAAAGAAATTTCAGTTATCAAGATTAAATGAAAGAATCAAAGACATGTTTTTATTTATAATTAATCACTTTATTAATAATCACTTTAAAGAATTTACAAATATATTTTCTATAATTCATCTTTCTTTCTTTATTAATACTAACATGACCTCCTTGACATGTTAAGCTTCCATGGGGTGGCAACAAGTGAGTGGCAAAAAAACTTCATTTTTTTAAATAGCAAAATTTTTGTAATAAGAAGTAAGTTATAAATGCATATCAAATATATATACCAAACTTTTTAACAAATAAAGCAAGGATGAGCCAGTTTTTTTTTTTAAAAAAAAAGATATTTCAATAAGATACAATGATTGAGAATTTAAAAAAAAAAAAAATTACAATAAAAAATTATTTGTATCTGTGTAATTAAATAATAAATATACAGTGTAATAAAGAGCCTATAATAATAACTAAATTTATATGGATCTATAGTGATTAAGTGGTAAATCAATAGGTACCACCAGTACGTTGCGTACTTACAAGAAACTATATATAATTCTATGCAGGATGTAATCGTGATTTTGATTTAGTGATCCTGCGATGGTATCCGCAATTGAGACAAAGTAAAAAAAAAAAAAAAAAAAAAAAGAAAAAAGAATAAAAAAAAAACTGTCACCAATCGAAAAGTTCAAATAGTTCAAACAACGCTTAAAAAATGTCTTCCATCTTGAGTTCTGTGCGGGACACTATATATGCGGTTACCTCCTGCTGTTTCCCAAATCCTATAATTCACGTAAATAGCCGAACTTTCAAAGTGATCAAATTGCTCGCCGAAGGGTAAATATAGGTCACATTAAATTAAATCAGTCACATATTCTTTCCATATCAGTAAATGCCTTTTTCTTACTTATCAACGTTTTTACTTACAACTTTAAGGGGATTCTCGTTCGTCTTTCTGGTGCAGGATGCCAGGACTGGTCACCTCTATGCTCTTAAGAAGATTCGATGTCCTTTCGGAAGTGATTCAGTAAAAGCTGCGATGAGAGAAGTTGAAATGTACAAGCAATTTCAGCATGAGAACATTATCAAAGTTATCGTAAGTGAATTTTTTCTAAAAAAAAAAAAAAAAAAAATCTTTTTAATCCACTTATATTAATTAAATCTCATGTTAGATTCACGTTTGATGAATGATATTAGGACGCTTGCGTCGTGCCAGACAAAGACGGTGGCAAAATCGTATACATTTTTCTGCCATATTATAAGGTTGGTTAATTATAAACACAATGTACAGCTTGCATCAAGCCTTTGCATCCTATTAAAGCATGTTTACGATTTAAATCAGAATGGAAATCTTCAAGACGCCATAAACAATAATTTGGTGCATGAAACTCATTTCAACGAAAAAGATATGCTTAAAGTGTTCCGGGGAATTTGCCGTGCCGTTCAAGTGCTCCATAAGTATAGAATTCCGAACGGACCTACCGCCCAGTGTGATGATGGTGTCGTACCACACGCACACAGGGACATCAAACCTGGGTATTTTTTTTTTTTTTTCTTTTCTTTTTTTTTTTTTAAATGCGTTTATTGATATCTACTCTTTTATATAGTAACATTTTACTATCCGATGATATGCAAACACCCATTCTGATGGATTTCGGCTCCTTAGTCCGAGCACGAATAAAGATTCAAAATCGCACTGATGCGTTGATACAACAAGATTTAGCATCAGAACATTCCACCATGCCTTATCGCGCACCGGAGTTACTTGACGTTAATACTAATACAGAACTGAACGAAAAAGTTGATATTTGGGTAAGGATATGATATAACAGAACGATCGTTGTTACACATTTCGACGTTTTGTTAAAATCGATTTTTTTGTATTCAAGTCATTGGGGTGTACACTGTATGCCATGTCTTACGGAAAATCGCCTTTTGAGAACAGCCTCAACGAACAAGGTGGATCAATAACATTAGCCGTACTTAGTAATCAATTCAAGTTCCCTAGTGTTGATCAAGATAGGTACGAGTAACCTTGCATTGTATAACCAAAGTTTTTGCATTTCTTATTCAAATATATTTAATATAATGTAGATATTCGCAAGAATTTAGAGATTTAATTAGTTTTATGTTAAAAGTCGATCCTAAAGAACGTCCCGATATCGACCAGGTTTGTTCATCTTCGTTGAATATATTGATTAGTATTTTTCTAACTATTTCTCTTACTATCGTTATAGGTAATCGAGAGAGTTGATGGGCTGCTAGGAAATTTGGGTTCATAGTTAAATTAATGGTCAAAGAAATGATGGTATATCTGACTTTATTGATCTGTCGGCTTATAGATTTAATCACATTAATGCTATATTCTTCCTCGATGTATCAATAGTACGTGTTTTATTTTATATTTTTTTTTTTTTATGCTCGAATGGTCTTCTACAGAGTGGTTTAAATATATATTATTCAATTACAAGTTATTTACATATATATATTTGGTGGATTATTAGATTATTATTCAATTATTATTATTACTATTGTCATTATTATTTATTCTCGACAAATGGAGTGTACAAAAAGAAATAAAATTTTAGTTCTAAAAAGTTTTACATCAAGTTTATATATAAGTTACTAGAAAGCTATATGAATGATGAAGTAGAATCAATGTGCCAATTCATTTTATACAGTATTTATCGATGTTTTATATTTGATTTTGATCAATTTCAAAGTATAATAGATATGGTAGTAATAACATAACATATGGTACTATTATATATTTTGATATCAGAAAAAATAATAAAAATAAAAATAATGAGGAGAACTCAGAAAATAATAAACAGAATTATTGGAATATTCTTCTATTTGTTCATGAGAAATATATATATATATACTGTATAATAATAATATGAGGTAGCGACGTATTGACCAAAATCTTTTTTTTTTTTTTTTTTTTTTGTATTTGAATATAGAACTTATAAAAACTCTATTTAATAAAAAGAAAAAAATTAGCCAATTTACATTCCCTAAAAGTGATTTGATAATAGAATTTAATAGTAAAATTAATTATTGACAATCCAGTACATGTAATACCAAGGGATTGGTTGGTTTGTTTTTTTTTTGTTTATATCAAGGCGAATGGAAGATTATAAGTGAGGGATCCTGCAAGTTTTAAGTTGAAATACTCCAAGTATCGTATCGCTCCACGTGTAATTTACCGGGTGTAGGGGTGATAATTATGTTGTCCTCGGACCTGGTGACTACTATACAAAGCACCGCCGGCTCCACTCGTCATTGAGCTGGAGTAAGACGAGCGAGCAGGTCCACTGCGCGAACCACCACCGCGACCATACATGGAAGGAGGATGGTGATGATGATGATCCCTACCACCATAACCTTCATCACGACCAGGGGAATGACGATAACCGCTGAGACGACTACTGGAATTAGGGCCACCCAAAGCTGAGGTACCACTGGCAGAGGAGGGACCGGAGCCATAACCACCGTCTCTCCCATACCACTGACTATAAGATCCCCCACGACTGGATCCATATCCACTTCCGCTTCCGTACTGGCTGCCATAACTTCCGTATCTAAATGGTGATGTGGATAGTCAGCAAATCGTAAGTAACACGTATCAATATAACTTGTAAATTGATCTTACCTCGAGGAATAATAAGCATGAGTCATTGCATTATACTGTGCGTATCCACTGGGATAGCTACTCGGATAGTTGTAGCCAGAGTATTGTCCGTATCCGCCGTAGCTAGGGTATGAACTAGGGTTATAATTTCCAACACTTGAGTTTCCATCTTTGGCACCACCGGCAATGGCGTAAGGAGACCCGTACCTGCTATTAGCTGAACTCGTCGGCGACGACATAATTCCAGGTGACGCATTTGTTGAAGATGATGATCCGTAACTCTGATGACCGTACATTGTTTGTACGCGTTGCGATTTGTGTTTAGGCATGGCACGTTTCACTTCAATCTAGGCATTAAATTTAAATCATTATTAATAAATATAATTAAAATTAATCAGAGAAGGATTTGCTGAAATCGTAAACAAAACATTACCTGTTTGTTGTTGATTTCTAAATCAGTACGGCTCATGGCTTTTTCAACAGGTTCAGACGAATCGAAAGTGATAAAGCCAAAACCACGAGGTCTTCCAGAATCACGATCCACCATTAACGTTGCATCTATGACATGTCCGAATTGAGAGAAATATTCCTTAAATTCTTCTTCGGTGACTTCAGGGGCGATGCCACCAACGAAGATCTTTTCGGTCTTTTCTTGTTCTTCGCGGGGAATCGCACGTTTCGGATCAATCTGAAAAATTACGGAAATAATGAGTCAACAAGTTAAACCGATGAAGACGCAAATCCATAGCATCAAGCTGTGATTTTAAATGAAGACAAGTAATCCACGTTGATATTTTTCATTCTAGAGTAATTTCCCTTCATCACTTACAATTTTACCATCCAAATGATGCTCCTTGACCAACACAGTATTGACGACGGATGGATCTACAAATGTCAAAAAACCAAACCCACGAGATCTTGTGGTATTTGGATCTCTCATGACTATACAATCCGTAACTTCACCGAATTGTGAAAAGTAATTTTTAAGGCTCTCTATATAAAAAAAAAACGTTTACTCGTAAATCATTTGATGATAAATGAAAAATGAAGAATGACAACTTGCTGCGTGATGTTTATGAATAACATTGTCGAAATGTTGCTAAAAAAATCATTACGGAATGGGATGCAGCAAACGTCTTTTTTTAAAGCGAAAATAATTTCATCCCATTTCAACTTTATGAACGCAGAATTCTCAATAATAGCAAAATGCGCGATAGAATAAAAGGAAAAGAAAGAAAGAAGAAAGGAAAAGAAAAATAAAAATAAAAATAAGAATAGAATCAAATGAAAACAAACGATTCGACTTCCTTCTCTCTTTAATATATATATGTAGATATATATATATTCTTTTAATTAAGATTTTGCCTCTTTTAAAGTACAAAAAAAAAAAAGCTTAAGAGGAAATTAACGACCGATCGTCGGATAGAAATATCATATATATTATATATTATATATGGAGAGAGAGAAGAGAGGGACACAAAGAAACGTAATTTACAATAAAAAAAAGAAGCTACGTTATTACTAAAATACACTCTTACCATCGGTGGTTTCCCAATTAAGACCTCCTATGAACATCTTTCTACAGTATTCAATGTGTGTGTAACGATTATGGTAAAGGAATACAGTAGATAGATAGATGATTCGATTTATATAGTATAGTAGTAAATTAAAGGAAGTGTAAAGGGAATTTGGGAAAAAAGAAAAACCTAATTAGTTTTACTTAACTTCGATACTAGAGAAAGAAAAATTAAACCTAACCCTGAAAATTCTGTCTGATTTTTCTTTATCGAAAACTCTCTGTTTTCCCCCTCTCTCTCTCTTTGCTCGCTAAATACAATAATGTAATATGATTGTTTATTTTAATTTGTAGCCTAAAATTACTTTCATCGATAAATGTCCATCAAGCCTAATAAAAATAATGACTCTTCACTTCTATACACAAAAAAAAAAAAAAAAAGAAAGAAAAAGAAAGAAAAAAGAATGCGACTATTAAGTGTCGCCACTGATTTCTTCTTCCTCGGGGTCCAACTTCGCAGCGTCTTTAAAAGAGGGCACGTCTCCTGGATCGAAGAGCGAGTAGGATGTCCCAAAAGAAAAAGAAAGAAAAGGCAAAACAAAAAAAAACCACAGGCAAGAAAAAAAAGCAAAGATTCCAAAAGGGAGAGAAGAGTGGGATAAACAAGGAGAAAACCAAAAACAAAATAAAATACTTTACCCTTCTTCATGTACAGGCTTGTTGTCTTCTTTTTTATCAGAATCCTGTCCTGATCTACCATCTTGCTTAGAATCAGATGACTGACGTGATGAAGCGCTTTCGGCTGCCATTGAAACCAAGTATACTGTTAACTTTATCTATTAGATTTTTACTTAACGAGAGAAAAAAGTTTGGAAGGCGTAATAACTAAGTGTTGATTTTTAAAAATTGACCAAGAAAAATTTTTATTAATACGTAAGGTGAAAACAAAAATATAGTAAATAATTTATTGCCGGTACCAATAATGATGTAGCAGCTGTACCCAGTTTTCGGAGTTTATGTATGGCAACACTATGACAACCAAAAACGTCAATTTTTACTTGTATTGGGAGATCACACTCCACGCATACATTGCAGTATACGGTTTATGAGATGCATAATTATTCACGTATAACTCCACCCCCATCTTCGATAAAAATAGGCAGTAAACAGTAATGTCTATTGTAACAATATTTGTACAAAGTGATAACGCGTCTTCAGAAAGGAGATTCGACAAGAGTCTTAGCATCAAACAATTAAAAGTATATATATATATATTTTTTTTTTTTCTTCTACCAGAGAGAATTTAATGTTTGACACGGTTTTGGTTTTAGGCGAAACTCGAAACCATTACTGGTATACCACTCGACTCCCAATCATTGCAATTATATAATGGAGATACACTAGTAGCTTCAGTTGAAGGAGATGATTACATGTTAGGTGCCTTTCCTGTAGATAATTTTATGACGCTAAAGGTCTGTAGATTTATTGAAATCTAATTTGAAATGTGTATTCACATTTCACGATCATGTTTTAGGTTGTAGACACTAGTCCATCCAACCTCAGGAATCAATATACTGACGTATCCCTCGTAGAAAAATATGAAATGCCCGAGGAAGAGTACGCAAAACGTATAGGCAAGCATCACAATTCATTGACTTAATATCTCGCCGTAATTAACCTTCTCATTCATGACTTGTCGAATAGATTCCGTCCTTGCTTTCAAGCAACGCAATAAACTAGGGAGGTTTGCCGATGATCTCTCTTCCACCTCAGATTCAACTCACACATTCGAGGAGGAAGCAAAGAATATTAAAGTAGGTGATCGTTGCGAAGTTGATTTCGGTGACGAAGGTATTAAAAAACGTGGAGTCGTCAAATTTGTCGGTAAGAAATAATCTTATTTTCTCGTGGTTGGTATGATATCGATCTTATATGGATCTTCGAAATTATTGAAGGAGAAACCAAGTTTAAGCCAGGTCATTGGGTGGGTATTCAGTATGATGAACCAATTGGCAAACATGATGGAGTGTAAGTAATATGATCCTTTTCTAAAATACTTGCCATTCTTCTTGTGTTCCAAATGACAATAACCAACTAAACTTATTATAGTGTTCAAGGTGAAAGATATTTTTCGTGCCCCGACAAGTATGGCGCTTTCGTCAGACCAAACAAAGTTAAAGTCGGCGATTATCCTGAAGAAGAATTTGAAGAAATGTAAATGCTCGGATAACAACTTGAGGTAAGTAGTTATCATATTGATGGTGTATGTGAGATTCTATAATTTTTACCAAGAATATTTTTAAGAGACTGTTTTGTTTACCTTGCAAAGAATTGATTATAATGGAAATCAAACTTTAATAAATATATGATTATAAAAGTTATGCTTTAAAACTTAAATTATTATTACCAAATAAAAGCAATTGAAAAATGAGTTTTTGTTTTTTTTTTGTTCAAAGCGAATAGATCGTTCATATTGAAAACTAGCCTTGCCTTATTTGTGTGGAAAAAATTTTCCAACAGCAGAGGACGAACCTGTGATCCTATTCCGTGCTCTAATCAATTGGATTAATACATAAACTAAAATTTTGTCAGGTCAATAACGTGGGCTTCAATAAATTTTTTTTTTGTAAGCTGTATCATTAAAGGCTAATTTTTTAACTTGTTTTAATTTATCAATTCTAAGTACAACTTTGGAAATGATATTTGTTTCATTAATATTTCAAATGAAATTTTTTTAACTATCAATATTATTACCTATAGGTCATACTGCAAATTATTACCAAGTTCTGATAGGAATTAAAATTTATTATATTTTATTTCATTTATTAAAGTTATTTATACGATCTTTATTTTTTAAAAAATTTTTTTTCTTTTTTATTATTATTTATTAATCTATTATTAGATCAGTTATATTTATTTTATTATTATTTATTAATCTATTATCAGATTAGTTATATATACTTTGTTATTATTTATTAATCTATTATTAGATCAGTTATATTTATTTTATTATTATTTATTAATCTATTATCAAATCAGTTATACTGTATATGCTTTATTATTATTTATTAATCTATTATCAAATCAGTTATTATTATTTATTAATTTATTATTAGATCAGTTATATATACTTTATTATTATTTATTAATCTATTATCAGATCAGTTATATATACTTTATTATTATTTATTAATCTATTATCAGATTAGTTATATATGTTTATTTTTTTTTTAACCCACAATTATATCACAATGGCTTGTCTTTATTGAAAAATTAAAGTAAATCTATAATAATTTACAAACTTTTACAAAGTAACTAACTTATCTTTATAAATAAATACTTCAAGTCAGATTTTGGGAACAATATTATACTTCTTTGATAGATTGATAATAACCTTTATCTATCAAAATTATTGTTAACAATTTGTTACTGTTAATTGCTCCAAAATCAATTAATTGTTAATTTAAAAAGAGGAAAGAGGAAAATGATTGGGAAAAGGGAACAATTCAAGGCCCATTAAAAAAATTCAAAAATAAAAACAACCTCTTCTTAAAAGAAATCTGTTTGATTGGAATAGTCTTCTTACTTTACTAGAACATCAAAAAAAATCTTCTTTTTCATCATTTGCAATTAATGATGGATTTTTAAAGTATTTAACATATAAAATTTTACAAATCACTTATGTTACTTTTTGAGAGACAAAATTCATAGCTCTTCACTTTAATAGAAACAAAAGTCAAAAAATGTTATAAATCAATGATTTAGATAATGGAGAATAATTATGAGTAGTTTTTTTATAGTTATTAATTTAAAAATTTTAATATTTTCTAGTAAGGAATATTTGACTTTTATTCCTATTTTCCTTTTTAGAGATTTATCTTTATCTGCAACATCAGATGAGTTAATTCAATTGGTCTTTTATTTAAATAAACACTGGATTGGGATATCTTAAGAAAAGCATTTAAACTTCAGCTTTTTTTCATTAAAGCTTTGTCATTACTTAAGAAACTTAAGTAAGAGATAAGAGTTTGCAATTCACATTATCTATTACTTGATTCTTTGATGTTATAGAAGTTTTTATTAAAGAACTTGAGCTTTTGGAAGGTATATATTTCTAGAATCTTTTTTTAATCATCAATAATATTATCAGAACATATGGATATAATCAATAGAAACTTATTTATATTTCAAAAACTAATATATTTTATATCAGCCAATCACCTTTGATGAGGATTTGTACTACTCAAAATTTAGGGTCAAACTGAGATAGGCAAATTTATTCAGAAAACCATAAAATAAAAGCTCTAAGAGGATTAAGATAGTTAAAAAGAGAGAAAATAAACCTTTTTACTACAAAAAACCTTTATAAATCTTTCATTTCAAATATTAGATAAACCTTCAGGTACTTTACAGTCAGTTTTTTTTCCTTTGAAAACTTTCTTGCTATTGGTATCAAAGATGGTACTTGATTTTTTTTTATCACTAGAAGTCAAGTTTTTGAGTGAAAAGGTTTGTAAACAAAAGAGAAAGAGTAGAGATGACTCTTAAAATCATATTTCAAGTTGTTTTAAAGAAAGTATTAAGACTTTATTAGCAAAGAAGTATAAAAACTTCTTGTGAATATCTTTTTTGTATGTATTTAGAGAATCAGTAGAAAAAGTGTTAGATATGTATACTTTATTAAACATTTATATTTTTATTTTTATTTTTTTTTTTTAATTCACAATTATACTGATACAACTTGTCTTTATTGAGATACTTGAAAAAATACCCAAATAATCTGCAAACCTTCTCATGTATCGACTAACTCATCTTTGTACATTATTAGTTAAAGAACTATATTACTTAAAAAATATGAGGAGTCCATTAAGCTAGTTTGGACTAAAAAAACTAAGTCTCAACTAGATACTCTAAGTCAGATTTAAGAGACAATATTATACTCTTCTAGTAGCTTGGTATAGTGCCTCTAAGTTAACCAGGGTTATTGTCAACAGTTTGTTACTATTGATTATTCTAAAAAATAATGAATTGCTAAAGTTGAACTGGGAAAAATGAAAAATAAAAACAATTCAAAACCCTTCAAAATTTTTTTTTCTATTTTACAGTCTCTTCTTAAAAGAGATTTTGCCTGATTGAGATATTCTTTTTTGCTTCATTTGAACCTTAGAAGGAGTTTTCTTTGTCACTACCTACAACATCAAATAAGTTTTCATTTAAATATATACTGAATTGGAATAATCCAAGAAAAACTAAAAGACCTCAGCTTCCACCTTAGGATGTCTTTTCACTACTTAAGGAACTTAGAGAAGAGATAGAATTTTTTTGTATGAATTCACTCCACCTTTTAATATCATAACTGTTTCCTAGAGTCGAATATATGCAATTGAAGGTAAACTTCTTCTAGAACTTTTTTTTCTATATTACTCATGATGTGATAGGAACATGTGAGTATAACTAACAGGAACTTGTTTACTTTTCTTAAAATCAATATGTTTTATATTAGCAAATTACCTTTAATAAGGATTTGTGCTATTCAAAATTCAAGGTCAAACTGAGATAGGCAAAATTTCCTAGAAAACTATGAAAGTAATAGCTTTAAGAGGTTTAACAATGACTGGAAGAGAAAAAATAAGCCCTTCTATTATCAAAAACTTCTATATATCTCTTGCTTCAAAGGTAAAGAAAGTCTTCATATACTTCATTATTGGTTTTTTTTCTTTTGGAAACTTTCTTGCTATTGGTTCAAAAGTGTTACTTGACTTATTTTTGATTATCAAAAGTCAAGTTTTTGATCAAAAAAGATTATAAACAAGTAAAGGAGATAGAGACAACTCTCAAAGTTCCTCTTCAAGGTATTTTAAGAAAAGTATTAAAGACTTTTTTAACAAAGAAGCAAAAAACTTCTTGCAAATATCTTTTTTGTATGTAATTAGAAGATCAGCAAAAAAAGTTTTTTTTTATTTTATTAAATATTTATTTATTTTTTTTCTTTTTATAACCCGCAATCATGCCACATTGGCATGTCTTTATTAAGATATTGAGAAATACCTAAATATTTTACAGACTTTCACAAAGCGACTAACTCGTCAT